TACCGAGTAAATCAAAAGACACAAATCCATAAATAGGAGTTTGTTAAGAACTCGGGATTAAGATCATTCTATATATGACCATCGGTAGACTCAATTAGAATTTCTATACTTAACGGAAATTATTAAAAATTCATATTGTGTCTGTGTCCTTGTTCCACATAATCTCATTATGCGAAATACACTCATTCAATATCTTGCCGTATCAACAGTGCGGATAACATCGTTCCATTCTAAATGGGAATGGCATGTATTAATAATGTTTTAATTAAAGATTCCAAACTTTAATTAAATTCATTATGAACATTGCTTTTTGATTATTATCCTTAAACATTATCCTCTTGTATATAACACTTATATACAATGTTTAAGGTTACATAAATAATCATGGAATTTTCATTGATATTCATAAAATATTCATAAATATATGCACATAAAATAATGAATAAAACTTTTTTATTAAATAAATAATAAATATCCTATTACATATCATGCTTCTAGGACACCATTCCCAACAATATGGACTGATATTACTGATATATTAAATATTGACTTTCTGTATTCACCTCAATTAATAGTTTGTAATGTGTTCTTTATTTAACATTGCTATGATCTTTAAATTATTAGATTTTCCGTCTCCTCTTGTTTTTTTTTTTTTTTCATAAAAGAATTTCATTCTCCTCTTTGTTGAATTTAGGTGTGACCATTTGGTGTTTAATCTTAACATATTGCTTTTGGTTGCAGAGGAATCATAATTAAAAATGATGGTAATCAGATTTGGTGTTCTTTTTTTTTTCCTTAGGTTGTTTTGCATCATATTTGTGGTCATGCTTTATTTCTTTTCTTTTGTGTTCTTTTGTTGACGTTTTTTATCTTCTTTTTCCTTTTGATTTTTGGGTTCGTCATTTTTAATCATTTATGCTGTTGTTTCTTGTGTTATTTTGGTATTATAGTTTTGTATCTTTTTATAATGATATCGTCATTAATATAATGAAAATGCATGAGTTCTTTTTTTATGATTTTGTTAGTTTGTTTGCTTTTTTATGAGTTATTTTATATTTTACCATAATTTGCTCGTTCCGAAACATAATGAAAATAGACAAATTTCAGACTTATGTTTTCATGCATTTTGATGGTTTCAAATTCATTCTTTTTTATAATGATATCGCCATTAAGATAATGAAAATGCTCGAGGTTTTTTAGTCATTTTTTTATTTTTTATTTTCGTTTTTTCCTTTCTCGAGCAGAGAAAAAGTGATAGAGATATTAATGGGTTTTTTATATTAAAAATAATTTTTTGATGAAACTACCAAACGCATTTTCAAAAATAATTTATGTCTGAGATTGAAAACGTTTTTATTTTTATTTTCATATAAAAAATAAAATTATTTTAGAACGAGTTTCAAACGCGTCCTAAGAGTAAGAAAGCTAAGAGACGTTTAGTTCATGAATTAGAATCATGTGATTATAATCATTTTCTATTTCTGTTATTTTTTGTGAGAGAAAATACTGTAGCAAACCATGAACCATAATTCAAATCATAGTTTGAATCCTCCAACCAAACATCTCCTAATAATGTGAGCATGGACTATGAGTTTAGAAAAATAAATGTTGATATGGATGGTAAAGTCAGTGATTGAAGGAATGATGTGAGCAAGGAAGCAGCTGAGTAGTGGCAAATTATGTTAGTTTACTAATCAATCTCAAAAGCTTAAACTATTAGGAGGTGGACTAAGAATAGTTTTATAATTTAACACTCTCCCTCACGTGTGGGCTGGATAATGGGCAATCGTGTAGGTAAATTAATTGGAAAGTCCAACACGTGAATATTTGAGCCTGAGATATATTAAAGACCCAACACATGATGACAATTTAAATGGGAATGAAGAGTACAATTATGGGGGTTTGAACTCAGAACCTCCCTCTTTAATACCATGTTAGTTTACCAATTCATTCTAAAAACTTAAGCTATTAAGAGGTGGGCTAACAACAGTTTTATACTTAACAAATTAGAGTATTGGATTTGGAAGCATGATTTGTTGTGAGGACCTAGAGATTAGAGAATCAAGAGAGAAGGAAAGTGGTTAGTTCATTAAAGAGCAAGGAGGGATAAAACGTAATGTAGAGGAAGGAAAGAATTATTGATCATTTGGCTTCTTGTTATTTTTCTTCTCTGTAATTAAAGACCACTGGTTCTCTCGAAAAAAAGAAAACCCAGATATTATTGTGCTCATTTCTTGTTTCAATTTAATAGCCTTTGATCGATCATTGCCATTTAATTTTTTGTTTAGATCATATAACCTTACTGTGTGATTGCTCGGGCTAACCGTTATGTTGTAATTTATTTGTTCTTTTTTTTTTAAGGAGGGTTTAAACAAGGAAGCGTTTTGCCCCATAATTGTGGTTGCACACTAAAAACCTTGAAGATTTTGGTGATTTTGCACTAATAAGGTATGTTTGTTTTTGGTCTATATATAAAAGAAAAAGAGACTTTTAGCGATGATATTTGTCGTCATTAAAAATTCTCATATCGCTAAAATTTTATCGTTAACTTTTAGTGATGACATTGTCGCTAAAAGTAAAAAATTATTGTTACTAAATTATTAAAACTCGTCGTTAGAAAGACATTGTCAAATAACAAAACTGTCATATTAGGAGTTTTAACTAAATTATAAAAACTCATCCTAAAAGTTTCGTCGTTATAAACCTTTTTTTTTTTTTTTTGTTCTAAAACAATAGAAAAAAATTACCAACCGAATATTGTTTTAACTTTTCTTACAGCGAAAGTATGATGGAAAGAGTTGATTAGAAGCTTGGACTTAGTTCTTTCTTATTAACTAGCAAATGCTGCCATACACTTGCCAATTACTATATGTAATTTCAAGCATTAATAGTCAGTTTTAACTAACTATTTGTTGAGATATTTGGTTTGAAGCATTACACTTGGATGTTGCTATCTCTTGTTCAAGCATGAGTAACTTTTAACTACAACACATTGTGAAAAACATTTAAGGACCTATGTGTAAATTTTTGTAAAATTTAGGGCATAATTTATAAATTTTTAAATTTAAGAGGTCAAAATGAATTCTTCATATGAGTAAAACATTTTTTTGAAAATTATATTTTTGTGCCTCAAGTTTTAAAAATTACAATTTGACCCCAAAGTTTTTTTTTTTTTCCAAAAACGCCTTATCCTAATAACACAACAACAAACGTGGGATTGGATTAAACTAAAATTTAATCATAGCATTTCCTATACATTTCAATCAATGACGCTAAAACTTCCAATCTAATGTTGTCTCATCGTGCACATAAAACCTGGCCAAACACAAGAGTACGTAGAATTAAATGGAGATGTGCATAATAGTGCAAGAAGAAAACATAATCGATATTCTTTTTATATTTTGTATAGATTAGTATTTATACATTTGTTTTTGTTTTTAAAGTACAACATTTTCCTAAACATGGTATATGAGATATGATAATAAAATTAATATAAAATCGAATCAAAACTCATTGGCCGATTCTTTCGAAAAGATAAAAGAACAATATGTGTGAATTGGAAAATATCACTTTATCATATATGTGCTTGACTCATGCCTTGGGAGGTAGTGGAATCCGCCTACGGTATTCTGCAAGTGCCCAAAGTGGGTAGATGTTTCTATATGCTGCATAATGTAACATACAATTCTTCATGAAAACTCCTGTTATTTCCTGCAATAATAAATTTGTTGAATAACTATTTCGTAAGTAAACAATTTAAAAGATAATAATAAAAAAAATTCAAAGACAAAAAGAAAATGAGGTTATCTTACCTCTTGTGGAAAATCACCATCGTCCATTTGAGAATTAATGATCAACTTTGCTGCACGATGAAGAGGATTTGGATCTCTTTCTGCTTGGCCAGCATGTATTAGGCCCATCATCGCCCATGCAGTATGTACTAAATTAGATCGATTTCCTTCAAAAGGTACATACTCCTACATAACCAAATAAAAAAAAAACAATTATCCGTTTAGTTCTTAGGTCTGAAGAGAAAAATTTTAATAAAAATTTAAATTTTGTGAGAGAAAACAATGTAACAAAACGATTGAAACAGTAATTACAAAAGGTCATAATCTTCCGTTTAGGGAGCACAACTTATTATATAATCAAAATTCATAAGATAAATAAGTGCTCCAATTTGTTACTATTATAAGAGTGCAGTAACAAAAACTTTTGATATATATAAAAAAAAAAAACCCCCATTTAATTAAGAATTTATTGTTTAGGTATTTTTGTACTTCGACCTTTCTACTTTACGGTTCTAAAAAATATAGATGAGTTTGGAATTGTTTTTACAGCTCTTAGAAGTATTTCGCACAAAATAAATGATGTAATTATGGTGTTTAGTAAAATGTTACAAAAAGTACGTACTTTACACAAAATCCAATACACTTTTTAAGTTATTTGTAGAAGGTGGTATTTATTGCTTTTATATTCTACTTCTGCTTTTGTTTTCAATAAAACTAGTTCTTGTTACCTTGTTTGGGCATGAAAGATAGCTCTCACCCCAACCCCCATCATTTCTTTGAGTTGCGAGTAGAAATTCAACTGCTTTTCGAATGGCAGAATTGTTATTGTATGTCTTGCCAGCAGCTGCTAGTCCTCCCAAAGCAAACCATGTACCATATGTAAAGCAAACTCCCCAATTGCCATACCTAAAAAATAAAACATACTATAATTAATATATGTTCAATAAGTTAGTTTCATTGCAATATTGTAAGTAGAAGAAAAGGTTACCATGAGCCATTTGGCATTTGTATGTCCTGTAGGAACCCAACAGCATTTGTTATAAAAGTTTCAATTTCCTTTTTCCTGTGTCCAGGGTACAACTTCTTGAACAAAACCAGAGCTTGGAGTGCTGATGAAGTGCATTCTACGTATTCGTGCTCGACAACAATGTCCGCAAAGAACTCGGTGGGATTAAGTACCTGCGTTTAAACCCATATTGAAAGATTACAGAACAAAAATGTCGGTAAATCAAGGGTTGTTATTTTAAAAGAACTCACTCAAATAAGGCATATCTGTTGGAATATTTTTATGTGAACTTTCATAATCATAATAATTCATTTTGTAATTAATTAAAGCATCTTATGAACAACTGTGTTAATGTGAATTAACACATGCATGTATGTTAAATATCGGTCCATTATGGGATGGATTCCGGCGACCATGGACGAGCCGTGTGCTGTCCACCGGAATAAAGGTATGCCTAAATCTCAAATAAGAGTTTTTTTATGGTATTTTCGGATTTTAAGCTAGATTAGTAATTATGATCTTGTTTAGATCATGTTTAGATCATTTTAAATCTAGCAATATCAACAAATATATAGACTAAAGTTTATCGAAGTCCTTACTTCCAACCACTCTTGTGCACCTGCCGGCTCCCATGCAGATAAACCGCCATTCTTACTCTGTCATCAATGAGAATTAAGTTCATCATCGGTCCTTTTGTGCAAATATATAATTTAATATCCATTGATTAGAAGTAAAAATGCAACATTTTAATTAGTTTAACTTTTCACACACTTCACCAAACAAAGGTTTGATATATTTTACAGGCGTAACTGTAAGTCATAGATAAGAGTGAACTATCCATTTCTTTTATTTAAAAAATTACTTACCTGAAGAGAAAGTAGAACATCTACAGCATCATAGAGTCGCTTAGGCTCCAATTTTTCACCAACAATCTCCGGTGGCATAGAAGAGAGCAACAGGCAAGCCTAGATAAAGTAATGGATTTGGTTAGATATATTAAAAAAGAGATCGAATTGAATATATATATATAGCTAAATTTAAGGATTGACTGAATCAAGTTACCTTTAAACCTTCTGCGGTGCAATCAGAAACTTGCCATCCATGATCTTGATCAGAAAATGTCCATGATCCTTTAGACATGTGGCGATACATACTTTTAAAGTCGCCCAAAGGATTCTCTTTCACCTAATTACATATGTTATGCAAAGATGAAATTAGACACTTCTTAGTCATTTTAATTAGAAAAATGAATGTTTTTGATAAATGGTGATATAGATATTAACTTTCTTATTAAAGAAAGGATGAAACCTGAGATTTCTTTATGAAGTCATGACCTTTGGCTAGAGTTGGTCCAATTTCGTGTGTGAGATTACTAGCAAGCAAAGCTTGAACGGCAAAACCAGTATCCCACTCCTGGCTTCCAAAGCTCTGTAGATTAATTATTTGAAAATATTAGTTGCATTCTTACTCTTGTTGTTTCATGTTCTATTCATGCAAGAGTTTTGCTCTACTGCATGCGCACTAACACTAAGATTATGAATACTATTCAAACTTTGGTATATGCATTAGTGAATTTATCAAGAAAAGCGCACGTAAACTTGAGACATATGTAATTAATATACACATTGAAAGCTAGAAAGAGAGAGCAATGATGGATATATTATTGGCAATGAACGTTATAAATGAAAGAAAGATATTTAGAAGCACCACCAGTGCTAAGCACCATCACTAATAAAAGGCGCACTCCACTTGTGGGTCTCACTGGGAACCACCTTCTATTAGTGGATGGTGCTCAGACCACCGGTGCCTTATGCACTAAATGAAATATTAGGGCAGCAAGTAGAATTACCTGCATCTTCATTCCATCTTCAGCAACCCACAAGTAATCAGGGATCCTTGCAAGGTGCTTTTTAAAATAGTCACCATTTGGATCTTCAACCCAACAAGCAAGCATACACAATACCTAGTTCATATAAGCAACATTAATTATGAGCACCAAAAAGATATATAGTTTGTAGTCTTGTACAACCTAAAACAGACATTGCTCTGTTTGCTCTGTTACCTTTTCCACACATCCAATAGTAATGTATCTACTATTTTCATCCTCGTAATGGATATGATCCATTGTCACTTGAAGAGCTCTTTCTCTAATCAATTTGTTTAATGGCCAACGAGAAAGAAGTGGCTCGGAGCAAATATATAGACCATCCCAAAGTAGATCTTGTATCCAAGGATGAGGATAATATAGATCCTCCTACAATAAGATCATATAATGGTTGTCATTATATATATATATATATATATATGCATGTGCAAACTTACAAAGGTATATATATGTGCAATATAGATCATTAGCTTGGCTATTGCAATCTCTACTCACTTTTGCACAAAGATGTCGTACTTTCTTCCAATTTACTTCATTGTAAGGTTGAGTATAAAGTTCATCCCTCAGTTGTAGAATGAGAGGTGTAATTGGACCAACAAATCTTTTCCCGTACAAGTATGACATTGGCATGTATACCATTCTACAGTAGCACCATATTTTAGCTGCATTTTGGGGGAATTAGGAATTGGTCAGGACTTACAAAATTAAGCAAACAATAGTGACAAGTGAAAACTTTCTCTTCTCTAAACAAAAGGAGAATGGTTTAAACACATAACAGAGTGAAATAATGGTTTATATTATATGTTATTATTGTATATATATGATACATTTCATTCCTTGCATCTTAACGAAGTTAAGATATAGAATATAATTCTTCCGAATTTGTATTCAAATAAAAGACGAAAAGCATCTGGAAATGATCGTAGGAAGTATGAAAATAAGAATGCATATCCTAAATATTATTGAGATCAATTTATTCAAACTGATGAAATAAGAGAATATGTATACCTGGATGCATAGGAAGAAAAGAAGGAAGAATCCAAAATTCAGGAGGCATGGGGTTGCTTCCAGCCCAATCAAAGACACCAAGTATCTACAAAAAAATGATAAAAATTTGTGGACATTAACATTTTTTATATTTGTAATATTTTATATATCCATGAACTTTCAAAAGCTAGCTTGCACCATATATATAAAATATTATTTCTTTATATTTTTATGAGATTTAATTTTAAACATACTGAAAGCCATGTCTTTCCCCAAGAGGGTATGTGCGTTACGCCGCCATGATCAAGAATCCATTTCCTTGCTTTCGCGCACGAATTGTCTCGACCGCCGTCGGGTCCTTCTCCGAGTATTCGCATACAAATGTAGCTCAGAACCGTGCAAAACATGATGCTGTGGCCCTCTATATGCAGTCCCCACCCACCATCTTCGTTCTAAACAGTGAAAGTTATATGGACTAGTGAGCATGTTGCTAACTAAATTTCAAAATGAATATTTTTACCGCATACTTAAAGAAACAACAAATATATGCAATACCTGATGGTTGTATATGTAGCGAAGAATTTCCGTACGATGCTCTACGGGAAATATGGTATTAAGGTGTCCTGTGATGTATAGACACATGACCTATACAAATAACGACAAAGTTTGTATCAATTGATGTTGTCAAAATGGAAAGCTGCTAGGCTCAAATTAAACAAAAAGAAGGTTTATCCATGGTAAACAGCATGGATACCAATATGTAGTCGGAATGCATGTAGGTAATTGTGCTATGATGCAAAACCTTATATTTAAACATATAAATATATGTGAGAATTCTTTTATAAAATATAAAAAAACAAATTCTCTAGTTGTGAGAAAGTTTTAGACCGTAAGAACATTAGCATATTCCAGTAAATTGCCATACTTTGTTTAATTTTAACATATGCGATTTCTATTTTTTATATTTTTTTGATCCGATTATAATAATTATAATAATAATAATAATAATAATAATAATAAGGGTAATCATCATAAATACTCCTTAAAAGTATATAAGTCAGAATTTTTACCCTTTACTCTTAATTTGTAACTTTTTTAATTAAATAATTACACTAACAAAAATGTATTTATCAAAAGTAAGAGTAAAGATCCAGACTCATGTACTCTAAACCATAAATTCTCCAATTTTTTCTAATAAAAAAAAAATAATAACTCACTGACCAAAGGAGGAAGGAAAAACAATGGGCCTGCATTTTCAGCGGGCCAATGCCCATCAGTAGCCTGCAATGCCGAAAAGAAGTGTACAGCCCTCCTCAATGCAGCGGTGGCCTTTTCATATGTGATAATCTCACCGTCTTCAATCTTAACAGGAGGAATTGTTTGTTTGAAGTCCTTTTCTCTCAAGAACTGGATCCATAGTGTAAAGCAAGTATATACAGTTAGACTACAAAAGTTTAATATAAATTTCAAAACACTAGTTATAGCAAATCAATTAATCTTCTGTAAATAATCTCTTTCTTTTTTTTGGATGGGATAAAAATGTCAAAATTGAGATTGTAAGCTTTTTTGCGTGCATTTAAAATAAATATAATAAATTTGTTATAACTGCACGCATGAAATGGGCATACTATATTTTCAGTAAATTCAATATATTTATACACAAGATGCATGAACATAACTTAGTTTTTAAAATTAGTATGAAATGCAACGATGGCCCGGAAGAGAGGGGGTCATGCTATTGATATGTTTCTGTTTTTCGTAGTATGTTGACTTCAAATGGAGAAGAGAAAAATCATTTTCAAAAAACAAAAAAAAAAAAAGAGCAAGCTGATTACTTACTGATGGTTTTTTGTGATTTAAACTAACGAAACGAACGATACCTATTTCTTCAACTCTCTCCATCTTATTTTTGATAAGAAGAAAGTAAACTCCATTATTTGAGTCTTTTCCATGTCTTCTTAAGCAAACCCCACTCCTAAAGTCTTATAAACTCCATTATTTGAGTCTTTTCCATGTCTTCTTAAGCAAACCCCACTCCTAAAGTCTTAAACCATTTTGAATATATAGTGACCTTAGTATTGGACAACTGGACAATTATTATGAAAACCAAAGGACCTACCAAAATTAAAGTTGGAGCTGATAAATCATTCTTTGGTTTGCAATAAGACCATCATCTTCTACTTAATTACCATATCACCCTTCTCGGAGAATTTTGTTCAAAAACCAATAAAGATACCAAGGTGACGTTTAATTCATAGGTTCAGAACTATGGTTCATGATTTTAATTTTTAAAATTTAAATTTATTTTGAGTGATTCTAAACCAGGTCAGAACCTCGAAACAAACAAAGCACAAATTATTGAAACAAAAGAAAGTCGAATGAAAAGCAGGAAAACGTCAACGCGTTTGGCATCTGTTTTGAAAATATTTTTCACGTTTTTCGAAGAAAAAAAATAAAAACTATCTAAAAACTAAGTTTAGAGCAGCATCCAACCAAAAACAAAACTGAAAACTTTATTTCTCTTTCTCTCAAAAACTCACGCATAATATTTATATATAATAGATATTTATATAATATATTAATTACTAGTGTATTATTTGGGGAGAATATTAATTATTCAGAGTATTATTTAAAATACTATTACATGTTTTTAAAAATGTAAAACTAAACAAAGTTTCAATTTTTTTTATAGGAATTAGAGATAAAAAGGGATTAATTGGCGCACGACTAATGAAAATAATTAGCAACCACACACGTGCCGTTATAACCCCACATAACCCATTCAATAAGTTAAAAAATTACTTGCATCCGCCAGAGGAGGTCACTGTTGGGCTTGACCTGACGGCGGTTGTTGAAGAAGTTACGGCGAGCCTCTTCGACCACCGCTCGCTCCTCGGGCGTACCGGCGTCGGGATCGAACTCCCAAATCTGCCTTCCCACAAAGTTGTTTGTGCTGAATATGTAAGGGTCATTTCCCCCGTCAGCTATCTTCAGCCTCCACATGATTCTGATCAGCCTTTTGATCACTTCTTTATCACAATTAATCTCCCTGCTTAAAACAATTTGCATTAAACATTTTATATATATAGATGAACAAATTAAAACTAGTTATAAATAAGACAATTATTAACATGGCATGCCATTCATGAAGTGCTTATGCAGAACATGCGTTAGTAAATTTCCGTACATATGACTATATTTATGCGTCATGCATTTGTAATTTGCATGTAGATGAAATATATATATATATATAAAGAAAATACTACGTAAATATCTGAATATATAGAGTCGGCTTTTGCACAGAGGTTATAATATAATTAATATTTACCGAAAAATATATGCCTACCTCAAGAGGCACACAATTTTGGATCGGAGAAGTTGCTGTTAAGAACCTGATTATAATGATATATATGTCTATATATATATATATATATATAGAGAGAGAGAGAGAGAGAGAGAGAGAGAGAAGGTATGTGATGAGTATGTGTTTAATAGGAAAGGTCCTTTTTATAGCGTATGGAAACTGGCAACGTACCAAATTTTTTTTTTTTTTTTTTTTTGCATAGATTACGGGACCAACTTTTATACTTTTACAATGAAGTACGCGTCATCCTCAGTCAAAAGTTCCGTGGAAAAGAAATGAGGAGGAAAAGAGAGTCGATCGTTTACGGTAAATATTGCTTATGCAATTAAATATAAGAAATGGGTTTTGGGTCCCTTAACGTTTTACACACAAATATTGGTCGTCGTTGGAACTTTGGTTGGCAGCACATGTGCAAAACCCTGCTCTGTTTCGATTCTTATCTTGTCAGATTAACTCGTAAATATTTCTCAACTTCCCGCTCAACTGTACCCATCCCTATATATTGATGACATTACTTCTGTACGTGTTTGTGCGAATTTCTAAACATCAACTCCTGTAGTCGGATCTCCGTCCTCGTTATCTTTCTCTCACTTATTGATTGGTGGGCACCATGAGTTGTCCTCCATAAGACACTTTGACACTCAAATCAAGAACAATGTCTCTCTTAATTCTCTATTGATCCACCCTTTACTTTTCTCATCACTTTTTATTAATTATATCACTTTTTATTAATTATATGACGCGTGTCATGATCAGATGGGTATTCATGATCTATTATGATCATGACATGTGATCATCCTTTTTTCTTTTAAGATTCTTCCAAAAATATCTCACCTTTGTGATGTTCTTAGAGGTTTTCTTCCATTGAAAATGTCATTTTTTATTCTGTTATTCACCTCTATAGGTGTCACACCCAGGTTGGGTGCATTTATTAGGGGAAATAGTGAGGTGTGTGTCACTGTATGAAGATTCTCTTTCTGACACAAGTCATCCCCACTACCTCTTCGGTCACAGTCTATTTCAGTCTCATAGCATCGGAGTGTTCTGTCGACCTCGGTCTCAGTCTTGGTCTCGGTCTATCTACCTTGATCGAGGTCGTATTCTCCCTCAATCGAGATGAGACTCGATCTGTGTCTCGGTCAGTATACTTAACTCGAGTTTCAATTCCTCGTCCCCGTTTTGCCCTTTGACACATGTCGTGATCTCAAGAGTCTTCGGAAAATTCTCCCAACAGTATGCATATAATTTTTCTTTTTTAAAAATATAATTATATAATATAAATTTTTCCTATGATTCTTTTAGAGGACCATGTATATATATAACATATAAAAATTAGAAGCATAACATGATATTCAATAGCGGAGCCAAGAAATTTTTTCAGGGGGCGTGAATTAGGGCGTGAAGCACAACATCAAATTAGCTTGACACTATCCCAAACGAACAATTATTTAAATATCATTTTTAGTAGTCTCTAATGTGCTGAGAATTTAAACACAAATCACCTACAAGTCAAATAGAATTTACCATTATTTAATCTTCTTTCTCTATAATCTATGAGTTGTGCTTGGTGGAAATCGGCATCAAGTTGTCCAATGCCATTGTTACGTCGGCTAGCTCATCATGTCTAGAAAAACAAGGAATAGCATTATATAATATATATATATATATATATATGTATATATATATATATATGATCCAATCATATCACGATGGTCATGCCTAGTAAAACACTATAAATAGTTAGCATTAGGTCTTTTTCAGTTCTTCTCGTTCGTGATACGGCCGCCTGATACTTACTATTTCAGGAAAAAAAGAGTAGTTTTCATTTTTTGTTTTTCCTTTTTTCTGTAAAATTTAGCGTCAGTGCTACTTTTTCATCATATGGTAAATATTTACTTGTATATTTGCAGTATTAATTACAAGTAATCATTTAAACAACGTATATATTTATGATTTCATGCGGCGTTTACTTGTATTTTACTATGAGTCATAAATCATGATTATAAAAGCAACATGTTGGAGGCTCAAGTGTTGCTCAAAACATATTACATATATTTATATGTATATATATATACATATCTAATTGACTCTCTACATGCATGCATATAAGATAAAAACTTATATTACAGAAGATATGAGCATGTTGCAATAGTCAAACGGAAGTCATGTGTTACCGATCGCATATTGGCTATTGCAATAGCACCAAACGATAAGGTGCAGCTCCTGATTATTGCAAAAAAATTAATTAATACACATATATGTTAACACATACAATCTACATACACTACAACAAAAAAATTTATTTACGATGACTGAATGTCATCGTAAAAGAGTAAATATTTGCGACGACACGTCATCACAAATAGTTAATTATTAACGACAATAATTATCATCGCAAATAGCCTAAATTGTAGTAGTGATATATATATATATATATATATATATATATTTGTGCGTAATACTATAAAAAAAAAAAAGAGAAAAACCATTCAACCATACAGACTGATCATGTACATTGATCTATGTTGTATTTCTAAATGGCTTTTTACATGTGTATACGTGCCTAACATTTAACTACTTTAATTCGGCAATAGTTTCTATCCCAGTTAATTAACATTTATTTGTTGACCTAGAGTAGGCATTTAGTTCTCACTTGTCCATCTAATTAATTAGTGATAAAGATGGTTTTGTGTAGATCACTAGTTTAAACTTACCTACCTTGGACCGTACTTTCAACTGGTCATTGTTCACTTCAAATTATAAAACGATCGGCTTTGTTCTTCTTACAGTTTAAATTATATTATTATAATATTTTTTTTTATAAAATTTTAAATTTAATTTTTTATTATAATATTCTTTTTTTACATATACAACTCAAGTTTTTATCCGAAGTTAGTGAAAATATTATTTTCGTACTATAGGCTTATATATTGCATATCACTTTAAGTACCTACTATAGGCTTATATATAGCATATCACTTTAAGTACCTACTATAGGCATATATAGCATATCGCTTTAAGTACCTATATGTGTTTTTGAAACTTTTATTGCGGTATATAATTAATAATTCAAAAAATTATCAACCTATCTAGTAGACTAGTACCACGCACTCCCTTTTTTTTTTTTTTTTTTTTTACACAAACGGTCATTTACACATTTTCCGTGTACAAGTAAATTAAGATGAAAAAAGTACAAATTATGAAAAGAAAAAAAAAGTACCCTAATAGAAATAGTAGATGCACTAATAGGTGAGATGCAACAATGGGCCGAGGCCCGTGGTTGGCCCAGACCCATCTTGACACAGTGACAGGCTGGGTTGGTACGGCCTGTCATTGTTCAAGACACGGTCTAACCCATAAATATTAATAGGTTGGGCTGGACTAACATATATTGGCTCATGGATCGACCCGGCACGGCCCATGAAAAATTATGGGCCAGGCCAGGCTGAGCTGGCTCGTCTAAGCCCATAATGGCCCGGCTCAGTCAAGTCCATCTAAGCCCATAATATTTTTATTTCTTTTTTCTTTTTTTTAATAATTTTGTAACATCTTATGTATAATTATCTTTATTGTATTCTTTTTTTCTTACCAATGTTTTGTCCCATTGAGTTTTCCTTAGAAAAATTTTTATTTAATGAGGTAATCGTAAATAAAATATTATTTTTTTATATTTCCGTTGACTATTCAAACTTATATATTTGTTAACTTGTTTAAAAATTTAAAAATTAAAAATTACATGCTTAGATGGGTTGGCCTATCTAAACCCATAGTGGGCCAAGATGGGCCTTGAGTGGGCCAGCCTATTCAAGGCCCATGGCACGGCCCATCCTGGCCCGCAGCACGACCCAGTTTGGCCCACGTAAAATTAGCCCGTGGTGTGGGCTGGGCCGAGTTAATTCTTATACGGGTTGGCCCGGCCAACAAAATTGGTGGGCTGAGCCGGCCCGGCCTGCAGCTTGCGTGGGCCTAAGGAGAACGGGCCGGCCCGTTCTTGCATCTCTGTGGGGGAACAGGGGTTGGGGGTGCAACATGTCGTTTATTGATTTTCCTAGTTGGTATGACTTTTATACATTCAAAATGGATGATGGGGCTCTTTTGGCGAAGGTAGAGGGTGTAGCTTTCATGGCCTCTTCCGGTTAGTCCAAGTTGTTTAAAGGTCGGGTGTGATGTGGTAATACGTCGAGTGGTAGAGGCCGACAAGTCTCTAAGTGTGATTTTGAGGGTGAAAATAGTTGGAGTGGCAATGTTGGTCCCGACTAAGTAAAGATAAACCCAAATG